TGAGTTAAATATTTTTGCTAACTTCTTTTCATGACATTTTATCCAACTCTATATATGCTTCACCAACGATGTTAATGATTCAAAAGCCTTATTCGTACTATTATTGCTAATCAGAATGTGTAAATATAATTTCTCAATTCTTTGGGATGAAGAGATTAATTAGGAAAGTGTACATACTGAAGAAAAAATCGTGAAATTTCTTATAATTGATCATCAAAACTTTTGCTGAAAAGCAGGTTGCTAAGGCATCCTTTTTAACAAACCCATTTTCTTCATCATCGGTTAATCGTCTATTTGTTCAAATTATTGCGAGTTTTTGGAACTTTATATTCACTTGTCTCAAGTATCGTCCGATTACGCTATTCAAATGTTTTTTTGTAAGATAAAATTTTATAAAAAATCTTTCATACACCGGCTTGTTCATGGCTTGATGCAAAATACAATATCAGCAAATCTTTTCCTATATTTCCGAGACTAAATTACACCAGTATTTTCTTTTCTCATCTCCAGCCTCCCATTGGTAGTGTCTACTATGCTCAACCCGGACAAGTGCCTCAGCCTTCATCTCAACCCCCAGCACAGCAGCAACCTCAGTCACAACACGCAGGCTCCGTTCAACAGCAAGCTCAGTCGGTTTGTATCCAACCTCAGTCACAAACTCTTTTGCCGCAAGTAACCGGGCCCTCACTTCCATCCAGCCTGCCACAGAGCGTACCAAGTACGATCAACCAGATTATGCAAAGCGTCTCTTCCTCCACCACTGGAGTCCCGCCAGGAGGCCCCGTAACAGTTCCGTCTGTCAGCATTGTTGCAACTGCCGGTGAGACTCCATCTGACATTATCTATTGCTCTTGAATTTCCTCTAAAGTGACCATTGACCCCTTATTCATGTTTGTTAAAGTTAAGAACAATAACGCCTTAATTGGGTCGGATACGGTGTGTTCAGTCCATTTTGTTTAAACTAATTAAGGACTGGCTGTCTTCATTTCTTTTGTTGCCTAATATACACTAATGTAGTATATGGTAAGAAGAGTTTGGTTTAGAGGAATTTATTGTATCATAATTGTGGAGCTTATTTACATTTCGAATGAAAGAGTTTGGTAAATAGACTCAAGGGTCGATTCCATCAGAAAACGACGGCGAATTCCTCTTGAACAGCTGTCTATTGGCTTTACTGGAACGTTCTTGTTGGCGTTGTTTCCGAGGTAATCTCTTTCGATCCCGATCAAAACGTGCTAAGCTTTTGTCCGTCGTATGACGAACATCATCAGAGAAGGGCATAACCCTTACAACCAAATAAAGGCTAATCAATAAAATTCACCCGCTTATCCTTGAAGAGTTGCATATATACTATATGTGACATTTTTGATGAGGTATAAAGTGATTTGGTTAGTTCT